TTAATAACCATATATATCGAACTAAACAGGATAAAAAATATAGACAGCCGTCCGTAAACATTGGGTTTTCTATATTCAGCGCGGTACAGGAGATAATTTGGCATATTTTATCCACGCTGGTATGTGTTATAACCAATCAGTTGTGAATCGCGGTTCGTGACAGTCACTTTCCAGCTGTGAAGCAAGGCATGGTGAAGGAGGAGGAAGGGGAGAAGGGAGAGAAGGTGGTGGCAGACGGAGTGAGGGGAGAAGCTTGGTGGAGAAGGAGAAGGGGCAGAAGCGCGAGCAAGGTGGTGCCCAGGCTGAGAAAGAGGAGGGGGAGAGCTGGTGGAGAAGCGAGGACGGGAGAGAAGGAGAAGGTGGGTTGGCCGCGGCAGGAGGGGGCAGAGCTAGTGGGAGAAGGCAGCGGGAGAAGCTGGCTGGAGAAGGAGGAAGTGGAGAAGCGGAAAGGCGGATGGAGAAGGAGGAGGGGAGAAACGCTGGTGCGAGAAGGAGGAGGGGATGAAGCTGGTGCGAGAATGAGCAAGCGGAAGATAAGGGAGAAGCTGGCTGCGCCAGAAGGAGGAGGTGGTGGAGAAGTGGTGAGTGAATGGCTGGTGTGAGAAGGGAGAAAGGGTGGTGCCGGAGAGAAGGCACCTCCCTAGCCACCTCCACCAACCTCCTCTTCCTCTACCACCTCCTCCACCAGCTTCTTCCCTCCTCCTTCTCCCAGCTTCTCCCTTCCTCCTTCTCCACCAGCTTCTCCCCCTTCTCCACCAGCTTCTCCCCTCCTCCTTCTCCACCAGCTTCTCCCCTCCTTCTCCACCGCGATTACATCTGATTGGTTATAACACAAACCACGTGACAAAATATGCAAATTATCTCCTGTACCGGCCTGAATATAGACAAACCCGTAAACATTGGGGCCTGGGCGCGGCCATCTTTTACTGCTGGTGCTGCCGCCTGTCGGGCGAGAACAAGGAATAGCTACATGGGGTTACGCAATCATCAGTGCCAGCAACGCGTTGCACAACTGAGTGCCTAACCAGTGAGTCATCGGGTACTGCCAGGTACGGATTGCACAACGCCGTAGGGGGGGGGGGGTTGTTGCCAGCTAGTATATAAGGCGCACAGAATCGCAGCTAGAGGCAGTTATTTTTCAGGCTAGGTAGGAGGAAGAAGAAGAAGGAGAAGAAGCAGCCGAGGACGAAGAGAAAGAGGAAGAGGCAGTTATTTTCAGGTCTAGGTAGGAGGAAGAAGAAGAAGAAGAGGACGAATACGAAGGAAAGGAGGGAGAGAGAAGCAGTCGAACGGGAAGAGAAAGAGGGAGAGTTATTTTTCAGGGATAGGTTATAGGTGGGAAGACGGGAAGAGGGAGGAAGAAACAGAGAGAGAGAGGATAGAAGCACAGGTTTTTCAGGTAGGTGTAAACCAGAGCCGAACGGGAGAGGGGAATAAAACGGGCGAAGAACGGCATTCTGGTAGAGCTAGGAGCGACTGCGAGGGAGATACCTGGGAGACTGTTTGGATCCACGCAAGGCAAGGACGAGCGTGAGGGAAGAAGACGAAGCCGGCGACGCGTAAATATTAGACGAGATCGATAGAAAGTCCGCTGCATATACGAATGCAGGGGGAATCATTTGTACACTAGTAACACGCAATAAAAGCTATATAACCGTATCGTTAACCGAATCTCACCGTGTTCTGTTTACTTGGTGCTATCTGCTATCTGCTACGTGTCATCGCCGTCCTGCCTGATACACCGACAGGAGCGGACTCTGAATCCCACTACTGGACACGCGTTACGAACTAACGTCTGTCGAACCGTAGTCGGCCACCCTAGGGGCACTACAATATACTACATGCATTTACTACATTTGCTTTATTTACCTGGTCCTTATTGTTGACTTGCAAGCAATCATTCTTTGTTTTATTGAGATTGTCCATGTTTCGACCTGTCAGTGACAACCTCACTCCGTGTTTGGCAAATAATATAGCAGTGGCAGCGCCGATTCCAGAACTTGCACCTATAATAGTGTGAAAACCTTCATATAGGCTCGATCGAGTCCTAGTATATTCACAAACCCCGTTTGAAACCAAATATTACAAATGCTGCGGTTTATGAAGCTGAGCTAGAGAGTAATCGGTGGGGGGCACGAATGACGCGGCTCTTGCCCTGCGACGGAGCGAAGGGCTATAGTACTAGAGTAGAGCTAGCAAAGCTTTAGCCCGACCAGGCTGTGCGACGGATTGTCTATACAATCCGTATTGTAACGGGTATTGTAACCCTATGGCTATAGCAATACCGTTTCTTGGAGCTAGCAAAGCTTGAACTTCACACTGTTACCTGTATGATTATTTAGAACCCGTAGTCGTACTTAGTACTCGTAGTCGTATGTCCGCATTTTTGTTTTCATGTTACCTGTGATGAGGGCTACTTTTCCAGCTAAACTTGCCATGGTGAGACTCGTGTTGACTGTTGTTCTTCTGGGTGCAAATCCACTTTAGGCACCTTAATTATATCACGAAGTGATGCACAGATTTCTGTGTATCACCCACTGATGCACAGACTTTGCACCGGACTTTGCAGTGGATTACTGCTGTGCGTGTTTACGAACTGAGTTTACCACATGCTATCAGGAGCGTATAATGACAAATAATGACATAATAATAATATTAATAATGAATAAGGAGGCGTAAGGTATAATGACAGGAGCGTATATTTGTCATTATACGCTCCTGATGCTATGGATACCGGTTTAATTGCCAGATGCCACGCTACCTAGATGCTACGCCAAGTTGCCAACACAATCTCACCA